TATTTACTTCTTAGAAACATAAGCTAATGAGGCAATAATGCTTCTTCTATTTTAAATCTTAAAAAAAGTTTTCCTGAAATCTAGATTCTGAAGTCTGCTCTAATGACCTGTATGCTATAATCAAATTTTGTGGCATAGTGTATTCACATTTAAGAGCTGTGCACATTGTGTACACACATGGAGGAAGCAATGAATATATGACTTGGGAAAATAAATGAAGGGAATAGAACATTTTTTCAGATTATTTTATATTCTTTTAAAATTCTGAATTTCATGGGTTGCTAAAGAATGTGAAGATATTTATATTTCTTCAAAATTTACATTCTAGATTGTATAATGTTCTAATTCAACTTAGAAAATGGCTACATATGCATATTATAAAAGCATTTAAAACAGACTGACTTTTGAATTAAAATTTATGCAAGAGAAAATGTGATTTTAACTGGAGCTGGCCTCCACGTTAAATGTAAAACCTTCAATCAAATACATTCAATCATAATAAGAATTTAACTTTTAATTCACTTGTATTAGTAAAATTGTTCAAGCTACTACCTGAGGCTAATATTTTAATAAAACCAGAAACCTCTTATTCAAAAGTAAAAGTTCTTACATAAGACAGCTGATTTTGTATTTTAAATTACTGAATTAGAGTGCCCTCTATTGGAAGAAAAAAAGGCAATGAAAGCTAAACTGAACTAACAGTTAAAATATCCCCAAAATTCAAATACATCATTAATGTGTAAAATACATTTATTAATAATATAAATGCTACAAAACGTTTTACTTACATTTTAATTTCTTTTAAATTACTTTTGGAATTGTCATAATACAATGAACAAGTTGGGTATTTCTTATCACCTAAAATTAAATTTTAACTGAACCCAAATGCCCATCTTTCAGCCAATAATGTGAATGATAAGCAAAAATCTTATTCCACATTTAACATTCCAATATAACACAGAAATAATTTTAATTTAGGACTATGGCTGGACCATACTGGGAATTTTCCTTGATGATAAACTGAAAATGTTTCAAATTCAAGAGATTTTTTAGAAGCTCTTACACTGGGGAGTGGGAGAACTGGGCTGGATACCTATGATGAGACTTATTCTAGCTCTAAAATTCTATAATTTTGCAGTGTTATCAAGATCTCAGTTCTGACTCAGTATCTCAGGTCTCAATTACCTCAATTACTTCAGTAAGACCCTGCAGGATTTTTAGTCCTGTAGACCAACAGTATGCATGATAGCTTTTTAAATAAACAAGGCTCAGAGCCACCTCAAACAATTCTGATTTCATTGGTCTACTTGGTCAGGACATGGTACCTGACGGTATCAGTATATGTTGAAGCCTCTCCAGATAAATCTAACATATATCCATTGCTGAGAATCTCCAAGTCTCTTCCCAGAACATCTGACTATAGTTACCATTTTTATATTCCCAAAATGTCACCTATAAGACAGAACTCTCCTATTCAAGAGTATATTCTCCTCAGCAACAATATTAAACTTCTGACTAGCTTCCCAAATCTAATTATCTTCCCCAAACAAAACCGTTGAGCAGTAACAGATACAGCACCAACCTCAGACTGCCGGTTTTCAGATCCTGGGTCTGGCAATTACTGTGTAAATGTGGGAAAATCATAAAAGTCCTCTGTGCCTCCATTTTCTTATCTGTAAAATGGGAGGAATAATACTACCTATCTCATAGGGTTATTGTGAAGATTAGATCAGTTAATAGAAATAAAGTGCTCCATAAGTGTTAGGGACTATCATTACTTACCCAAATTTGTTTCCCACTACTTTCCAAAATCAACTCTTACAATAAACCATTCTTTTCAAATCATATGCTATGTCTCACCTCTGCTTTTGCATATATTGTTTCTGCAAGCTGGAATCTTCCCTTTCACTCATTCATTCATTCCAAAACAAGTACAAGACATATCTCCTCTTCCACTAGAGCCCAGTTTGGTCTCTCCCTACCTCCATGAAGCCTTCAGTGACTACCAGTAAGTCTTCACTAGTCTCTCCCTTTAAAGAAAATTTCCTTTGACCACCGGGTAATTTATTATGAGAAATGTAGCTGGAAATTAAAGATATTAGCTCTGAGTTTGAATCCTAGATCTGCCACTTGCCAGCTGAGTCATTTCCCCAGTCTATAAATCCACAGTTAGCTTTACTATGAGGATTAAGTGGCTTAATTCATATAAAGCATTTGAATAGCAAGCACCTAATAAATGTCAGCACTCATAATATATATTTGGTGTTTTGCATGTTAATCTTATTACTGTACACTGTGACTAAAGCCTTCTTAGAATAGGAATTCTGAACTCCTTTAAGTCAGGAATCATGTTTCATTACTGCTATCATAAATCCTATAATGTAAGGTGCCTGTGTGACTCAATAGGTTAAGTCCAACTCTTGATTTCAGCTCAGGTCAAGATCAAGCCCCACATTGTGCTCCGTGCTGGGTGTAGAACCTGCTGAAAATGTCCTCTCTCTCTCCCTTTGCCCCTCCCCCTACTGTGGACGTGTGAGTGCATGCACACTCTCTAAACAAATAAATAAATACGTAAATAAATAAATAAGTAAATAAATCCTATAACTTACAACATGGTAACAAACATCTATATTAGGTGATCTATAAGTACTTAATTTTTTGCATAATTTGAGAGTACAATTCATGACAAACTCTGAAAAAACATTTTTGATGAACAGAAATATTCAACAAATGCAAATGAACCCAAATGAAACACAGACTATTGAGAAGGGTCAAAGTAATCAGATTACTTTTTAAACACTGATAACAAGTTTTTATTAGATTAATCTTCTGAAAGGACACTTCCAATGATGTCTTTTATCTGCCCCAAATCCTTTAGATTTCTCTCGCTTTCTAAAAAATAAATACCAAAATTCTTATCCTGACATTCAAAATCATCCATGGCCTGACCTCAACCTATCCTTCTAATTTTATCTCCCATATTCTCCCTTTATAAACTCTATCAATAATTTCAGATAAATCAAACTACTTGCCTTACTCATATGTACCCTCTGCTTTTCTGCCTCATGTAACATTTATTATTTAATATGACAATACTTTCAAGGAACACAATATAAGGTTTATCACAGGAACAAAGAGTGATTTCTTGTATGAAAGGATGCTTGAATTGTAAGATATTCAGTTCAATTTATGAGCATTAATTTCTCTCTTGCTACTATCACAATAGAGTCTTAGACTTACAAAAAAAATATTTGACCACATTCCCCTAAACTATGTTACCTTCGTAATACTAAAATCCCTGCTATCACTACATGAAACCTGTAAGCCTGGTCTCCAAGTAAAGTGTGCAGTGCAGACCCCAGGGTGCACTAGATACTCAATGAGTTAAAAGGAAAAAAAATAGAGCTTCTATTCACACTTATTCTGTATCCTTCTTACTTGAATTTCTCTTGTAGTATATACCTAATTTATAGCACAAATTCTTAAAATAGTAATAGATATACATCATTTATGAATACATGCAATTGGGAGATTTACTTAAAATTTGTTTGCTATGGTATGTACAACCAAGAAAACAAAAGTTTAGAAACCACTGGTTGAGAAAACTAGGGCTTTCAGAAATTTGTGGGTTTAGAAGTAGAGGAGCAGAAGTATAGTCAGTTTAGAGAAATCTTTAGGAACAAACCTAAAAACCTAAACACCACACATTATATTTATACAGGATAAATATGTTTTAATTTGTAAGCAACCTTCAAAAAAATAATTAAAAAAAAAAAAAGAAAAACTTGTAACCAACCTTCAAGGAAATGCTGAAATGTAATTGGTTTGTAATTTGGAGATAATATATAAGTTTTAGATTTTTAAACAGGAAATTTTGTCCTGACATTAAAGTACACTGACACTACAGTAAATATTTCATTAATATAAAAATTTCATTTGGTAAAACTTGCATGTATTTACTTCAGTATATATGTAATTAATCATAATTATTCATAAGGAGTTTTACTGGAGCCAATAATACAATGCTTTAAAGAAGACAGTGCAACAAAAACAATAACAAAAAAACAAAAAAACAAAACAAAAGGAGTAAGACTAGCCATGGAGCTAGACTATGCTGGGAAACAAGGGTCAGCACACAGTAAGTAGTTAAATGAAGTAAACATTCTCTTTATAGTCACTATACTTGGCAATGTTTTTAGTTTTCATAAATAATATGACATACTTAACACAATACACTCTTATTAGCTTTTGAAGAAAGCATAATGTTTCTATAACAAATTAAGTTCTAAAAGTGAGTAAAGATTTCATGTTATAATAATGCATTTCCTTTAATACCAGCACACCCTATAAATCCTACCTCTATATGACACAAAATAGGTATACAAATCTTAATTTTAAACTGATTGATGCTCTATAGTTTTTCTTGCTGTTGTGTTAATATAGAAAGCCAAATGATCAGTAATCTCTAACTCATGATTTAGATTCTGAGCTTGTAGGTTGCATAAGGGATTTGACTAAGATTATAAAACTACGGAGGTCAAATTTTCCAAAATGTCTCTCTCCTACCATAACATACAGAGTGACTGGGGAACATACACACATAGCCCAGCTCTGTCTTTAATCAAGATGGGGTAGACTAAATTCATAGAGAACTTGGGAAAGAAAGACAAAAGGAAGATTTTTTTTCTTTCTTTGGAAACCAATTATCATCATGCCCAGTGAGACTTAAAGAACATAATCAAAGAAACTATGATTCCATGTATTAAGCAAGTCAACAGCAGCAAGATCATCACAAACTATCAGTGATTTATCAAAGCAGTCCTTCCCCTACACATGCAGTGAGAGTAAAATACCAATGAACATCAGGAAAAGAGCAATAGGGAATTTGACATTTGACACTGGCAGAATCTGAAGATAGGATAATGCACAAATCCCTGCCTTTTAGATACACATTGAATTGGCAAAGACAGACACATTGTCTTCCTTCCCCCCTTACTTACTACACTCTGGCTTCCATTTTTCCCAAGTTCTTCCTCTGAAATCTTGCTCAAATTATCTAAGTAGTGGTCTGATATTGTGTGGCACAAATCTTCAAAAGAATAATCCTTTTCTTGACAGAGTTTTATTTCATCCAAGAGTTTTGATAATTCTCCAGTCACAGTTTCACCTATAAGAAGACAGTAATTTTTTTCAAAGTTTTAAGAAAGGCTATTGCTAAAATTTCCTATTAACTAATAAAAATATGACTAGTATAGTGACAGAACTCATGACAAACAACATTAAGTAAATCAGAAAATATGTTGAAAACAAGGTACTGAACCATAATTAATGCAAGAATGAAAAGACTAAATTAAAAGACAAGGAAAAATCCCAATTTTGCCTATTATTATTCTTTTTCAAAATAGAAATAAGTATTGAAGGTTCATTTATACATATTACATAAAAACATCTGGAATTACAATTCCTAAGGTTTCATTCATTATAACATTTAATCTTTAATAATCTTTCATATGACAGAATTCATTAACAAATTTTAAATGGTGCTGGGAGCCTACATCCTAGTTTCAATAAAAAGAAATAGAATGTATTTAGATAAATAATTATGTAACTAATAAACTAAAATTATGTTATGTGACATAAAGGAAAAACACAGAAGTAACAGATAAATAATATGCATCATCTGTCAAAACATGAATATTTTGTAGGTTGCATGCAAATATGCGTTTTTCTAATCATTCTCAGAAAGGTACTTTATACTTCTAATTTCTTCTAGGAAAAAATAAAACTCCAGCTGTTATAATCCAGATATCAATATTTTTATTCTACATTAAAAATACATTTTGGAAAACAAATCTAGTGTGAAATATCTAGTCCATGTATATATCATGACAGCAGAGATTGCTAATTTTGCCAGCTACTGTGTCACGGCCAAGAATAGGGCCTGACGAATAGAAGAGTTCAATAAACTGAAAAATGGATAAAATACAAAGTATAAGATATAAGTTACTAGGCCTCAAATTTTCAAGTGTTAGCCTTTTTGTACGTATAGAACAAATTTGGACATAAAGGTCTAGTGTTATTTATAGGGCTTTATAATTAACTACTCACTCTTAGTCTTTTGGGAAGGAGATTCAACAGGAGATGAAATATGTATTTCTTGTGTTGTATCTTCATGTACATGTTCTTCAAGGGCTGCTGATCTTCCCACACCTTCTAAATATTCTGTGTATACAAGTTTTTGAAATTACATAGTCAAATTCATTTATTTTAATATAACTAAACTTTATGTTTTACTTCTGGGATCAGCTTTTCATTTATTTCCTCATATCCTAAATATATCCTAAGTTTTTAAAAAAACTTCAAAAAACCAAAAAAACTGAAAGAACTTGATGATGAGCTATTAATTTAAATCTTTTTAATTAAAATTTAAAAGATATTTTGGAATAGACTCATAAACTCTTTTTGTGGAAACTAAATTTGACACATTCTTTCACCTGTTATAAATAAATTCACCTGTTAAAGATAAAATAACACCCTTAGTTTCCTTAAGTGTATTCTACGTGAGGATTTAAAACCATCTTAAAGATGCTTTGAATAGACTTGATACCTAAACAGAACATCAAATTCAATGGACACCACAACCAGTTAGGTAACATGAATGAAGTTTATAATGGTGTTTACTCTTGTAAGACAAGCATAATTTCACATTAAGCTTTACTTCCACAAAGAAATAACATTCTCTCCTATTATTCCTAAAGTAATACTTCACACTCAGCCTATCTCTCATTTTTGTAACTTTGATGAAGACATAACAATATTAGAGCAGCCAAAATTTAAATATGTCACCCAGCAGTGTTCTAAGTAATATAAATTAACTCACTTGATCCTCACAAAACAATGACACACACTCTTACAATCTGTTTTAAAGATGACAACTCAAGGTTCAGATTTTATTTTTTAAATTTTTTTTAATGTTTATTTATTTTTGAGAGACAGAGAGAGAGACAGAACATGAGCAGGGAAGGGACAGAGCGAGAGAGGGAGACACAGAATCCAAAGCAGGCTCAAGGCTCTGAGCTGTCAGCACAGAGTCCAATGCAGGGCTTGAACCCATGAGCTGTGAGACCATGACCTGAGCCAAAGTCGGACGCTTAACCAACTGAGCCACCCAGGAGGCCCTCCCCCGACTTTTTTTAATGTTTATGTATTTTTGAGAGAGAGGCAGAGAATAAGTGGGGGATCAAGGAGAAGGATTTTAATTTGGCCATGTTCATACAGCTAATAAGAGGCACAGCCAGATAAACATGGGACGAGAAAACATCTCACTCTAAGCATCTGAATGCAGGGATAAATGTCAATAAATATTCAGCCCCATTATCATGGAGAAAACAGAAAGCATGTGGAGCATGATTAACCAGAAAGTAGGTGCCCCATCCAAAGTTCGACAGTAAAGTAAAATAAAAGCCTGCATTTTTTGAGAAACCAACAAAACTCTGAAGTTTTAGCTGAAACCCTACATTTGTAAATGTTGAAAGCCAATTCAATTTTTATGGAAACACAGTGTGGCCAAAAATATTTAATCTAAACAAAATCAATCTGCTATCTGCCAAAAGCATTCAGCTCACAGTGGCTAGTTTGTAGTCTTCATCTAAAGGATTAAATCAACTGATCTCTCCCCATAGTGATCTTTTACTTCCACTTTATTCAGAAGGAATCTTTTTCTTAAAAACTAGTTAAGAAAGTTTGTTCTTAGCAGCACTATCAACAATAGCCAAAGTATGGAAAGATCCCAAATGTCCATCGATGGATGAATGGATAAAGAAAATGTGGTATATATATACAATGGAGTATTACTCAGCAATCAAAAAGAATGAAATCTTGCCATTTGCAACTACATGGATAGAACTGGAGGGTATTATGCTAAGTGAAATTAGTCACTCAGAGAAAGACAAAAATCATATCACTTCACTCATATGAGGACTTTAAGAGACAAAACAGATGAACATAAGGGAAAGGAAACAAAAATAATATAAAAACAGGGAGGAGAACAAAACAGAAGAGACTCATAAATACGGAAAACAAACTGAGGGTTGCTGGAGGGGTTGTGGGAGGGGGGATGGGCTAAATGGGTAAGGGGCATTAAGGAATCTACTCCTGAAATCATTGCTTCACTACATGCTAACTAATTTGGATGTAAATTTTAAAAAATAAAAAATAAAGTTAAAAAAAAAGACAAAAGAAAAAAAAAAGTTTGTTCTCATTCCAAACAATTGTGTCTTCATACTATCCAAACAGTTTCTACCTAAGGGCATTTCTACTAGGAAAATTCTACTAGGAAAAGAAAGAAACCTATGGAATTCTATCCTTAAATTTTTTGACCAAATGCAGTAATTATGTAAAGTGAATTCCTCCTCCAGGACACAAATAGTAATTTTATCTACTCTAAATTGGCTTTAGTGAAATAAGAATTTTTCATAAAACTTAAAATGTACCACTGGTGTGACCCAGGAATGCAAAGAATATAGATAATACATTTACATTTTAAAACCCGCCAATAATTTTAAAAATTCAAAGATGTCCCATATACCCTATCACAAGTTGGCATACGTAATGAATTTTGACCACTTAAGAGAACACAGATAGTTAACTCCTATGTAATAACACTTTCATTTAAGTTAAATCAATGCAGTAAATGTCTAGAATTATGTCATACCCTCTTTTTAGTGGACATTTATTTTGCTTTTCCCAAAAGACATAATATTCACAAGCCTCAGGTTTTTTTTTAATTTAGATACAAAAGTTCAATATGAAATATAAAGCACCTAGAAGGGCAAGAAAAAATGTTATGTACCATTCTTTTTTCTTTTTTTTAGCTTTCATTCAATCTGATTTGAATTAATATGAAGAGCTACTCACGTATTTTGATTTATCTCTATAAGCACTTGACTTGTAATTAAGTTATTTATTAACGAGAAAATTGCAGGGGACTTCCTTTCCCTGACAGGTTTTGAAGATAGAGAAGACAGCATGAATGACCTCCTGTAGCACATTTTTTTTACCCCTCTTGGCTTTTGTTGACTCCTGTATCTATGCATCACCTGCCTGACTTGGTTTTAATTCATTTATCTCACATAGGATAAAGCTGTTCTTCAACTTCCCAACTGACATCCAAGGAAACAATCCCAGCTTCCTCCCCTATTTACACTTGCCACCAATCTGTAACAATCAGGGGATAATCACCACTGAGCAGTGTAGAAGCTAACTGGAAAGGGTAGAACAAATGTCTGTTTTTTGTTTTTTTGGTTTTTGTTTGTTTTGTTATTTTGTTGTTGTTTTTTTAAGTAGGCTTAGCGCTAGGCATGGAGCCCAACACAGGGCTCCAACTGACACAGCCCAACTGACAACCCTAAGCTCAAGACCTAAGCTGAGATCAAGAGTCCGATGCTTAACTGATTGAGCCACTCAGGTGCCCCAATGTCTGGGTTTTTAAGGGAACATACGACATGTCAGGCCTAATCACAAAGCAAAAAGGGAAAGTATTTATTTATGTATTTATGTATTTATGTATTATTTTTGTTAATTTACATCCAAGTTAGTTAGCATATAGTGCAACAATGACTTCAGGAGTAGAATCCAGTGATTCATCCCCTACATAGAATACCCAGTGCTCATCTCAACAAGTGTCCTTCTTAATGCCCCTTGCCCATTTAGCCCATCCGCCCACCCAAAACCCCTTCAGCAACCCTCAGTTTGTTCTCTATATTTAAGAATCTCTTATGGTTTGTCCCCCTCCCTGTTTTATATTATTTTTGCTTCCCTTCCCTATGTTCATCTGTTTTATATCTTAAATTCAACATATGAGCGAAGTCATATGATATTTGTCTTTCTCTAATTTCGCTTAGCTTAATACACTCTAGTTCCCTCCATGTTGCAAATGGCAAGATTTCATTCTTTTTGATTGCCGAGTAATGCTCCATTGTGTGTGTGTGTGTGTGTGTGTGTGTGTGTGTGTGTGTGTGTGTGTATGTATATAATCATATCTTCTTTATCCACTCATTTGTTGAGCCCAAATGTCCCAAAAGGAAAGTATTTAAATATAAATCCCATTAAAAGTCTTAGATCAAGTAAGGAAGTATACAATCCTACAATGAAAAAGTAGTACCTACATGGTTGTCAAACCTTCAGGACACCTAATGCTGCACTAACTATACAGTTACTTAATGACCTGTATCAAAAACAAAGCCTGGCAAGATCGAATCATCTTGTACTCCTGGATTAAGGAGGAAACAATCTGTATTCTTCCAGTTAAGTACAATTTTTGTTGTTAACCCAATATTTATGTACTAGTTCTAACCACCTAGAATAGGTTATATATCAGCCTCTTGGGGCTTTAGTTCCCCTCATGTGAAAGAAGGAGAATAATGATATCAGACTTATCTATCTCACAAAGTTATAGAAAACAGGCAAAATAATTAAAAAAAAATAACTGCAAATTCGTAAAGCATTATTCAAGTGTAAGATAATACTTAATCATCATCACCCTATAGGCTTATTATCTTCAAGTTCATAACTACATATTTGCTATATGGATTAAAAAAACCCTTTGAATAGCAAATGAGTGAAAAACCACTTTAGCTTTTCTTAAAATACTGATTAGTTTAAAACAGAAATAAAACATTAAGAAGTATTATTATTTAGCTTAAGGGTTACCAGAAAAAAATGTAAATAAGTTCACTCAAAAGTAAACATTAACTCAAAAACTCAAGAGAAAACTATGGTAGATTTAATTTAATCTTAACTTTAAGGCAAATTCATCCATCATTCAATATTGTTTACCTTGTAAGAGTGTTGCAATCTGGAGAGATTTCTGAGATGGATGTTCTTTCAGAATGTCTAAGACAGTTCTACCTAAGCTATCCTTTATGTTGGCATCAATTCCTGAAAGAAAAAGAAAAATCCACTAGATGTACACCACTGAAGTGTCATCAGAAGATACTGTCAACATATAACTGTTCTAGTATCAAACATATACAGATCAAGCACTGAAAGTGATTTTTAGAAAAAATTAAAACCCTAGACACACACACACACACACACACACACACACACACACACACACACACA